CCCAGTTTATTTAAAATAAAACATACGATAATTATTATACGATACGCACACACACGCACGCACGCACGCACGCACGCACACACACACACACACACACACATATATATATATATATATATATATATATATACGCGCGCTCGTGCACGTATTATACACAAAGAAAGATATGTATAACACAAGTTGGCTTTGATCGACCCTTTTCTAAGAACTTTCTCCGACTCGCTCGCTAATTAATTCGGGGAGAGATAATCGTTGAAGAAAAAAAATCGTATGAACGATGTTCATACGCGTTATAGAGGGGGGAGGAAAAATATAAACGAAATAAATTCATAATCGAATAAATGGCAAAATGCAGCCAGGCTACTTTGAATAATAAGAGTTGTTGTTATTGTTATTTAGTGTAATAGTAGTGGTCAGTCGATCGAGTCATGGCAAACGTCATTAACCACGATAAGAACCAATATACTACTTGAATGTCAATTTAGCGAGAGAAACAACAGCCGGTGTTCTGCAACAGGAACACACTCGGCCCAGCCATGCCAGTTTAGTGTAACTCCGGACGGATATTGCTCCCTATTATTATCGAAGAAGAGTGGATAGAAAAAGACAAAATAAAAAGAGAGACAAAGAAAGATATATATATATATATATATATATATATATAACAGTAACGAAGGGACTTCTCGTTCCTTTTTCTAACCAACATTTTAACTCTTTCTTTATTTCTCTTATTTTATGCAATTTTCTTCCTCCTTTTATCGTACGTACATAACCAATGTATACGTGTGTGTGTTTGTGTATAGAAAAGAAACGATAAAACCGACATAGCTCGAACGAACGGGTTTCTCTCGATTCTTAGAATTGGGCAGACGAGCTTGAGCAAGAATGAAGAAAAAGGACATGCTGGTACTGTACTCGGACACACGTTGCGAGAGAGGAACCATAAGGTACTTCCTACTTCTCTCTACAAAGAATAGAAAGAAAAAAAAACTTAGAAAGAAAACAGCTACAAACTAAAAAGTTTAATACAGCTTATCGTTAATAATAGGTATATTGATAAATTTTGATACGATTCATCGTTGTTTTACACGAGAGCTTTCCTATCAACTAGAACATTATTCAATTATCATAGCAAGCAAAGAAAAACTAACAAAAATAAATACCGATTAGTCTTAATTAATTTTTACACACACATACACATACCACTCGTAAATTGTATTTAAAATATAAATCTAATCTTGGTTTAATTTATAATATTTTTTAATAAATTTTTTTAAATTAGGTCGCTCCAAAAGTTTCTCTTCTTTTTCTTTTTTTAAATAATTTTATATATAATATAATTTTATATTTTTTAATTTTATTATTTAATATTTAATATATATTTTAAATATAATTTTATATTATATATTTATATTATATATTTAAATTATAATATAATTTTATATGCACAATATTTTTTATGTTGAATAATACACAGTAAAAAAAAGGTAATATAAAGTTAGAATTGTGAAATTATTTAATAAATTAACATAAAAAATATTACGCATACAATATTATGCAATTTATCACCAAAAAAAAGGAAGATATTTTTGGGACAATCTAATAACTAACGTATAAAATTCCGAATTCTTGACAAGTAGTAATGGTATCTATACACATATACTTAAATACTCACATGTCCGTGACCTCGACTATCTTTCTTGCATTAAATTAACGAGCATTCGTTTAACGATTACGTTTTAAATGGATCAATCGAAATGAAACAACCTATATATGGTAGATCGATTTTCCGCAATCGGATATCTTGCGATCCAAAAATGGTGAACGAAGTAATGAAAAAAAAAAAAGAAGAAGAAGTAAAAGGAGGTGCTGAATGAGGAGGAGGAAGAAAAAGATCAGAAGAAGGATTGAGGAGAGGGTGACGATGGGAGAGGAGGACGCTCTCGTTTCGTTCGTCGTTGAGATCGGTCAAGCTCGGTTACGAAATCTGAAAAGAAGGTAATGCAAGAAGAGAGTCGAAGAGAGAAGGACGAACAAGCGAAGGCGGAGAAGGAGGTGAAGGAAGAGGGGGAGGGGGAGGAGGTGGCACGAATAGAGAAGGGACTGCACTTGGAACGAGTTCGTAAACTCGATTCGAACGGACTCGGAGAAAATGATCGTCATCGTTGTCGTCGTTTCGCTAACCAAAGTCGGCCGATTTCATTACTTCTCCATCTTTCTTCCCCACCCCTTGACCACCCTTCCCTTCCCCTCCTTCTCACCATCTTTTTCCTTTTCCTCTTCCTCTTCCTCCTACTTCAACTCTCCTCCTCCGCCTTTATTACTCTCTCTCTCTCTCTCTCTCTCTCTCTCTCTCTCTCTCTCTCTCTCTTATTMTCTCTTACATTTTTGTTTTCTTTCTTGGTTATCTCGGTATAATGCAGAACAAATACCTACTAAAATATTCTCCTTCGTAAAGAATAGAAAACTAAAAGTTGTTAAACTCTTAACTAATGGAATGTTAGAATATTACAGTCATTTTCTAACATTTAAGTGATATTTATATATATGAAAAATATTATCTTAATTTCTTCATATAAATAATAATATAAAATAGATTCTTTCTCTCTCTCTTTCTCTCTCTCTCTCTCTATTAATAATTTTCTAATACGTGTAGAAATGTCGATATATTTTATTACGATATATGATCTTTCTCTCATACACGCATACACTCTCTTTTTTTAGCGTGATTTCGAATGGTATCAATAATTTTACTTTTTTATATTATAATATACAAAACATGATTATTTTATTACCATAAATAAACTTTCCCTATATCTTTTACTTTTTTTTTACCGTGAAATTGTTTAGAGATCGTGTCAATAATTTTCTAGAACTCCGATACCTAACAAAAATAAAAAAAAATAAATAAATAATCTTCCCTAACTCCTCTTTTTTTACTCTCTACACTTAAGATATTTAACTTTCCTCTACCAACTTCTCTCCGATCTTTAAACGTTGTTAGGAAAAATGAATTGGATCGAATGATAATCGACAAAGTCGTTTTACATCCCTCCTCGTAGAGAACAGAACTCAAGTGTCTGTTTTCATCACGTTGTTGTCATCATCCTCATCCAACATCCTCATCCTCATCCTCGTCGTCATCGTCATAGTCATCGGTTGATCTAAGTTAACTCAGGCCTGTCTCTCCCGCTGGCAGGCAGCTGCCTTTACCAATACATATATACATATCCATATATATGTGTATGTGTAAATATGTGGTATAAGGTTCGCGAGAAAATGCGCCTTATCGAGTAATGCCACCGAGAGCAACTAGCTAGCAAGCAAGTAACCAAGCAAAGCCAGCTTGGAAGCCGCTGCCGGCAAGTAACGCCGTCCTCTCGACGACGTAACGATGCCCTCCTCGTTCTGCCTTTTCATTGGCTATCCTTTTCTCTTTCTCTTTCTCATTCTCTTTCGATCAGCAGAGAGTTCAGGTTCCGTTCCGTTCCGTTCGCGCGTATATACATACATGCATACGTGTACCGCGAGATATATACGGTCACAAGAGAGAAAGAGAGAAAGAGAGAGAGAGAGAGAGAGAGAGAGAGCGCAATCGCGTTCCTCGTCGACGCCCACCGTCGTACTACTACTCTTCGACGTTGAACGATGCATAAAATGTGACGATAAATGAAAAAGGATAGCCCGATAAAACGAACATCGATTCGTACGAAGACCTCGAGGATTATTATCTGTTTTCGCTATTACCTATACTCCCCCTACCCCAACTCCCCTGGCCGTTTTTCCCGTCGATTAAAAGCGAGTCTTTACCCCGAGTCGCCAATTCATATTTTTATTTCCCCATTCTGTAAAAGCCGTTAAACGCAACCTTTCAGCTTTTGCCTACTCTCGCTTTGGTAGTATGTACGCAAATCAGAAATATGCATACATGTTATAAATGTATATATTTTGAATAACATGTTTTAATGGTTTATCGACGAATGACGAAGCACGATCAACCAATACGCTGATACGGTTTTCGATCGAAACAATTTCTCTCTTGTTAAAACACGACACACAGTATGGTATGTAACGTCAAATGCGACCTTGATTATTTTACTTTGATCAGTTTCCCATTCCTTTCTTCTTTTTTTTTTTTTTTGCAATTTTATAACAGAACTTTGATACCGACAAATACATTAACGTTCTAGACAAATATAATAATAAAAGAATCGAATATATGTAGAATTTTATTCATGCAAATATAAGCTAGTTCTAACATTTTTTATTTTTTATATTTTTGAGGATTTTACTAAAAAGCAAATTTCGACCTATTACATAGGTTGAAAAGTTCTGAGCCTAACGTAGAAACAATTCTTTTTCAGGTAAAACTCACTTTTAGTTAAAACAAAAAATACTCAGGTTTTATTTCTCGAATTTCAATACTTTTCAACCCACTCTCGTGTATCCGGAAGTATTGAATAAAAGCAAAAAAAAAATATTCACTTTCTTTTAATATTTTATCTTTTTTTTCCTAATATTTCATTCTCTACCACTTGAAGGAGGGGTTCCACAAAGAAAGCATAATCTTTCTCTTAGGTCGTAAGAGTAAGTGAGTACTCTTTTATCGACGATAGACCAACGAACAGTGAGCAATTAGTCGCGCAAAGGAAAATAATAAAGAACCGACTATCCATCTCCGTCTGTCGTTTTTAATTCGTTGAACGTTCTTTGAGTGTATTGCGTATCGAGACAGCTATCGGGACAAGGCGGGTCAGGGTTCGTCATCTCTTCTCTTACCATAACCATAAACAGGCTCTCGTCGAACAGCTTTCCATCGATCTCGAGTCAAGCAAGCGGATATTCTACAGCTAGCCAACCAACTAGGCTTTGATTTTACCAAGATCACTAGACACGTGCCATATGTAAGTAAGTACTTACTTGCTTACTTACTTACTTACTTACTTATTCCTAAGAAAAAAGGAGACATGAGGTAGAGAGAGAGAGAGAGAGACACTTACGGTGCATGAGGTTCCGCCAGCTGCCATAAATCGCTTTGATGCACTTGTCGAGTGGAGTAGCAGCGAACAGATTTGTGCCGGTTTTACGCGTACCAAGATTCCCTTCGGAACGACTCCTGAAGAGTGTACCGCTAGGAATGAACGTTCCAATCGTGGGTGTTCGAGATTCACACGGATACAATTTAGTTTCAGATTTTTCAATTATTCCGTTTGGTAACCAAGATTCCATAGCTGGATCGCGAAAACTACGATAGGTCGATGAAAGTTTTTTTGATGATTTTTGAAGAAAACGTTTGCCAGGCGGCAAAGGCGGTGGACCAAGACAACTGGTAACCGCTGTTATCGCCATATTTCAAATTTATTTATTTTTTGTAATTTTATTACAGCACTTTTTTGTAATGATCTTGAGTTAATCAGTTCGATAATGAGCAGATGAATTGATCGTCTTTGTACGTCATTTCCTGATTAAACACAGCAATCTCCTTCTAAGGGAGACAAGGAAATCTTTGCAAAGCACTATCAGCAAGATAGACCGGAAACCTGTCTATCCTTGCGTGATACAATCTCAAAGGCTAACTTCCAAGAGTCAATAAGTTTCTCTTTACCCGTAGCTGCCACTGGGACGACTTAAGGGAGTTTAAGTTTATTATTGGCCGATGCAGCAGTTAACGCGACACCTAATGATTCACCAACCAGTTTCCGAGAGGCATACGGAAGAAAAAGAGGAAGAAGAAGAAGAAACAAAAATCTTTAACAGATGCACACAACCTTATATACATAAGATTTAATACTCCGTAACTTTTAACACCTTTTAAAAGATTTAACTCGTGAGAATCGAAAAATATTGTATAAGTTATCCGCAAGTAACAGATGTAATGCATAGTACTTTCTTCTGTATACTAAATCACCGTACAAAGATAGATCGTATAATAGTAGTAGCAGAAGAAGTCTTAGGTTAGGAGGATGAAGTCATCGCTAATGATTCACGAATACACCAGAAATTCACGCTCACTGCCAAGTTCCGTTCTTGATTAAATATCTAAACGTGAGATCTGACGAAAAATATATTACAAAAACGTAACGATACTTCTATAAGAACACTTTCTTTTTTTTTTTTTTTTCAATAGATCGTGAAAGAGAAACTTTTGCACGAATCTTTGGAAACGTTTCTGGTAAACGGATAAGAAAAGACTGTCAGAAATGTTCGCCGAATAGCCACAACTATCTCTCTCTCTCTTTTTTCTTTTCTTTCTTTCTTCCTTTCAGATTTCTCTCTCTTTCTCGTTCTATTCGAGGTTTTAAACCAAGTGATGGAGAAAGAGGTAATGGCGGTGGTGATAGTGGTGGCGAATGCAAAGGGGCGAGGTCGAAGGTGGGTGAACGAGTTCCCGGACAGAGACCGGTGGCGTGGGCCGCCCCTGCATTTGGTCGCGTGGGTTTCAAAAAGCGCGACATGTGAATCGAAACTCTCTCGCAGTATAGTAACAGCAACAGCAGTAGTAACAGCAACAGCAGCAGGAGTAACAGCAACAACAACGTATAAAAATATCGAGAAGAGAAGAGGACGGAAAAAGGCGGGCCCCAAAGAGGAATGGGGAAAAAGTGAAAGAAAGAGAGAGAACGTTATGTAGCAGGAAAAGTCCAGACGACGAGATTTCATTGATCGGAACGAGTATATATAATGGTGTTCAACGATTTCGCAAGAAAGTCGTTTATATAGAAAACTGCCCTGACGTTTTCGTCATTTTAAATAAAGGTCATCGATACGATTTAAGCGCCTCCTTTCTACATTGCCAGCACGCACGCACGCACGCACGCACGCACGCACGCACGCACACACACACACACACACACACACACACACACACTTCGCTGGTGGCGCACATGTTTACTCGAATATGTTAAACGATCATTCTCGCGTTCATACGTTGTTAAACGTTACGAATATATTATATATGTATATATTTTCACGTCGTTGAAGTTATTTTTTTTCTTTCTCTTCTTGTTTTTTCATCATCGTATTGCTCTCTTTGCTAATTCATATTTACTTTCTATATTCGAGTAATATTTTTTTTATTTTTTTTTTTTTAATGACATAAGTCCACTTATCCTAGTAGCATAAAATATTGAAAAATATTCAATAAATGTGTATTTAATATTAAAAAGACATTAAGGGTTCATTCTGGTTTATAATTTTGAAAAAATTAATTTTTTTTTTTTTGCATTTTTCGAAAGTAGACATATGTAGAATTATCATACAAAAATTTTAGAACGATCCGAACAGTCTAAGTATATTATTTTGCGACTCAAACACAGAGATATTACAGAGAGAGGAGACAAACCATAAACGGTTGTTTAAGTGGAAATGTCTCTGCATATTATTCAGAGTGGTNTTTTTTTTTCGAAAAATGGCTGTCATTTTGTTTTGCTTTCATAAAAATTGATAGTTTTAGCATACCCGATAGCCATTGTCATACTAAATTTAAAACCGTTTAATTTTTTCGTTTTAGACCACCCGTTCTCAAATTTCGATGCCCGCCAACAGCATACCTTTTTTTGACGGGTTCACGTTTGTCAGCCATTTTTGATGTCAAAAAACGTTAAAAACAATAAAAAAAAATTTTTTTCTTGTACTTCTAGAGTGTATTTATCATACCCAACAACTTTCATATGTATATGTATTCTACAAAGCCTAAAAAAAAATCGTGAAAATAGCCTTTTTTTTCGGCGTAGAAACCAGAATGAACCCTTAAATCTCTTTTTAATATTAAATACACATGTATTCAATATTTTGTGCTACTAGGGTATTTTTTTGTTTTATTCTAAATCTTCGATAAGTAATAAAAATAAAAGGATAATGTAATAATCTCGAATTAATTTCAATCTCCTATTTTTTCGAATGACGTAAGGATTATTAATTAACATTACGGTAATAATAAAAGAAAGGATTAAAATTTACTATTCAGAGTATTTTACCTGATGGCTTTATCACGCTAATTTACAAAAGATCGAGGACGACTTTGGAAAAAAAAGAAAGAAAGAATAGGTAGGATTTTCATCCAAGTACTATGTTCTTTCTTGCTGCTTTCATACATATAAAAGGAGAGAGGAAGAAAGAGAAAGAGAGAGGAAAAAGGGACTAGTCTCGATTAATACTATTCTCCAATTTGAAGAGTCTCTCGTTCCCATTTCCAAAGGCTATGGGCGGTAGAAGCTAACCGGTTGAGAGCTACAAGAAGAGGAACGTCTCCTCCCCAATAATACCCCTTCCTCCCTCCCCCACACACATATACATACATACAAATATCTATATCGAATACGGTATTGTGTTTCTGAAATATTCGCGAGATCTCGTGTATTGTAAGAATTTCATTCTCCGCAGGCTATCCGTAGATCCTCGACGACGTCTCTAAAGACCATCATCTCACAACCATTCCAAACTGAAGTCGTAGCTCGGTTCAATTTCCGTCCTAAACGAAAGAAATTCATGGAAAGAACTTTTGCCTCGCGAATAAGCAAGTTGCCAATAAAAAAAAGATATAAAAAAAAGAAGAAGAAGAAGAGAGAAAGTTGGATGAGGAGAGGGTCACAAATAAAACTACGACGAGTATGTAGGGCTAGGACAACGTGTATGTATATATGTATGCGTGTATGTATGGGTAGGGTCTCTTTAAAAAAAAAAAGTAAAAAAAATCGAAAAGAGAGTTCTCTCTCTCTTTCGCGAGGAATCAAAGAGAAAAGAACGAAAAAGAAGAAGAAGAAGAAGAAGAAGAAATAAAGAAACGCAACGCGGCTACGAATAAAGGAAAGAAGAATCTGGTAGAAAACGATGAGAGAGAAGAGAAGAGGAAAGGAGAGGAGCGAAGAAAGGTAAAGGGAGGAGATGCATGGGGAATGGGAGGGAAAAGGGGGAACGGGGGATTAGTCTGCCAAGGGATGTTCCCGCTCGATATGCATTGTCTGCCCTGTCCCCCTTTTCAGTTTCCACTCCTCCTCTCTCTTCCAACTGCCTAGCCCTCTCCTCTCTTCTCTCTCTCTCTTTTCATTCTTCCTCTTGCCCTCCTGCTTTCACCTCCGCCCTCGCACGCACGTACACACAAGCTAAAGCAAGCAGAGTCTCTCTCTGCCAGCTAGGATTCTCGCGGAACGAAGCAGTAACGATCTCGTACACGAGGGCACGCGGTATCGTAGGTATTACATATGTGTGTGTATAAGTACATGTGTATCTACACCTAAGCATCGTACATATGCTTTCTCTCTCTTTCTTTCTTTCTATCTTTCACTTTCTGACTCTTTCGCACATTTTCTTACTCTCTCTCTCTCTCTTGGTTGGTTGGTTGGTTGGTTGGTTGGTTGGTTGCTTGCTTGCTTGCTCGTGACACACGTACGTTCGTTAAGAGTTACACGCGAGAGAGACACCCGCGGCTATTTCTGCATTATTACGACCTGCAGAGCCTTTGTCCCTGCGCTAAAACACGAAATTACCTTGTAAGCTCTGCTCTTTCTCTCTCTTTCTCTCTCTCTTTCGCGGATGCGACTTCTCTGCGGTGACTTCCCATATCGAACGAATACGGACACGGACAAAGAACGACATATAGTTTTGACGCTTTCTTCCTTTCTTTCTCGCTTGCTATTTTTTTTCTCTTTCTTCTTTACTACTCTTAGGCAAAGACTTTTCCGTTTTATCTTCCTGAGTGCAGAGATCACTCGGTACTCGTTTAACGTTGCTGCTGCTATTGCTGATGCTACAAATTTTCTTAGCGTGTAACATCCAACATTGGGGGGGGGGAACTTTACTACTACTACTACTACTACCTACTACGACTATTACTACTTCTTTTTCACTTTCCCACGATGCGCGTTTGACAAACCGTGCGAAAGTATACCTACGATTTTAAAGCTAAAAAAAGAGTATATTACGTAATATATTTCGCAAATTTTAATATAAGTCATACACGTTAAAGACATATTAACCATAATATATTAAAATATAATAAATATTTAAATGTGAAAGAGATGAAAGAATTATAATACCAGTTCTTTTTTTTTTTTTTTTTAATTATTTTTCCTTTCTTTGATCTAGTAGAAAAATTTGGTTAGACGTTATAAATGGAAAATTCTATTTTCTTCGCTTTTTACCTACGTTTTTGTAGAGAATCTCATGAAATATTCTATTTCCTTATTCGCGAGAGAATCGTTAACCTACGAGATGAAATATTTACCCACGTAATATACTTTAAGAATGTTTCAAAATGAAATACAGTTTTAAATTAAGATATCAAATAATTTCATAGAAACGTTCGTTTAATTTCGTTAAAGTATAATTTTTATTTCTATAATATTTATACAAATGTTACTATATTGAATTTGTCAAAAAATAAAAACGTAAAGGTTTGTGATAAATGTCGAATCACCCGGTATATATATTATCTATGTATTATTCGTCCAAGAAGCGCGTCACGCTTGTAAGACAATTACGCGATGCAAATGTTAATCCGGACTAATATAGAGAACATGCGTGACCAATCATAATAAAGCACGTTCGTGAAATGGTTTCGATGCTTTTCCTTTGATTAATTGTCC